CTGGGCAAAAATGCCTAATTTTTTTTCCCCAGTGGGAATAGTCATGTTCATCTGATGCAGGGAAAAAACCTCACAGAAGGATCCTGTGGCACCTTAAAAGAATTGGATACAGTAGCAGGGGAAGGTCTGGAGAGAGATAGTCCCTTGAATAACCAGAGTAATAGTGGTGCTGAAGCTGAGTTCATGCTTTTGAAGAATCCCAATAAGCATTATTTTGCCCAGGAGCAGGAGGAGAACATTAGCTTGGGGGTTTGCTTTGAAGCAGCCAGAACGTCCACTGTATTGTCTTCTGAATGCCCTGAGAGATTTTGCATGGATAAAGACCTTTTGTATAGGGAAACTTTAGCCACCCTATACAGAGGAAAAGGAGAACCTTAAAAGCAATTAGTGGTCCCAAGTAAATACAGGGAGAAAATCATAAATTAAGCTCACAGTAGTTTGTTTGGGGACACACATGGGGATCACATGAACCAAAAGAAGGGTTGCCCAGAACTTCTTTTCGCCAGGTATGGGTAAACAGATTACTTATTATTGCAGAACTTGTGATGTCTGACAGAGACGAGGGACAGGGCAGGATAGGACTAAAGCCAAATGATGTCCTTTGCCAGTCATCTCTACCCCACTCCAAAGGCTGGGAATCGATCTGGTGGGTCCTTTGCCTAAAGCCACCAGAAGGGGGAATAAGTACATTCTGACCGTTATGGACTTTGCCACTAGATATCCTGAGGCAATTCCATTACGTAACATGGAAACTGACACGGTGGCAAATGTCTTAATCAATTACAAGAGCCGATTGGGATTTGCTAGTGAAATAGTCAGTGATTTGGGAACTAGCTTCACCTCTAGACTGATAAATAGATTTTGGAAGGCCTGTGGTATAACCCAAATCAACTCTACACCATATCATCCTGAGACTAATGGACTAATTGAAAATTTTAATGGCATATTAGTGTGCATGATTAAGGCCTATGTAGTAGAGAACCAGCCAGCCGAGGGTCACAAGCTACAATTAGCTTGGGAGGGTCTCTATAAAGTAGTGTCAAAAATTGAACAAGGGAAATTATGTGATTCAGAAGGAGGAAGATGTAAGCCCTGATGCCTCAAAGAGGGATGCATCTAAAGATGTTCGGGAGGAGAAGAGGGAACTGCCTACCCTTTCCCCAGCTGAGAATGTGAAGCCATGAGCCAGACTTAAAGCAGGCTTCACTATAAAATGCCCAGCAGACGACATCCAGTGGTCAACCGAGTGGCCAGTGACCGCCAGTTGATGGAAGAGGTTGCGGAGGAAGGAGCCAGTAGTCAATAGAGAGACTCCTGAGTGCCAGCAGACGTGTATCCAGCCGAAGGAGGTGATGACAACCGGACCAGTCCACGGCGCACCTTATTAAGATAGGAAAGTAAAAGACTTGGACTTTGCAAATTTTGCCTTTGTAACACAGACTCAGATCGTGCCTTGAAAGCCCACGACATTGTCGCGGATGCGCTTTCCAGGAGGCTAGATGAATGATGCAAGGACTTTTAAAAGAAACTGGAATGGACTATGATTTACAGGTTAATTATTTATGTAAATGTTTCCTGATTGTAAAGATATTTCTGTATGGGTGAAAATATTAAATGTAGTAAATGTAAATGATAAGGTAACGTATATTATTGAATAGTAGTAAAATGTTTAATGTATAAGGTATAGTAATTGTTATGTTAAATGTGTTATATGGTAAGTAAAGTTTAAAGCAATTGTGCCTGTTTGTTTAGGAGGAAAAACATGTTTCTCCTCCCAAACAAACATATTTAAGGGGGGAGGTCTGTAGCGTTCACTCTTATTATGTTAAGTAGTTATGAATATTCATGTTTTAGGCTAATATTGCTGAGAGGCGGAGCTGAGAAAAATGTAATAAAGTGGTGGAGTCAGAGAGTGAAACAGTCAGTCAGAGAGTCAGTGAGAGAGAGAGTGGAGAAAGAGATAGAGTGTGGTATTTGGGAGATCTGAGGTGTGAGTAGAATGAAAAATGAATAAGAACTGTAATGATAAATAGAAGGGTGAGATTGATGATAATAGAAGTTACCTATGATTAATATTCAGAGATCTGTAATCAATAAAAACGTTTTATTTAAAAGACAGTGAAGTTTGCACCTGCGTCTTCATCCTTCCATAATTAATGTTGATTCAGTGATGAACTGATGGCAGTGGGGTAAAAAGGAGTAGTAGTTTGCCTTCGTGTGCTCTGCATTTGGAGGGTCAGGCAAGGGGCACAAGGGGCGAATGTCACAGTTGTTCTTCCTAACATTTCGCCAGTCTCTGTGGCCGGCATCTTCAGAGGACAGGAGTCAGAACTCTTGTCTGTGCACAGACAGAATTATGACTCCAGTCCTCTGAAGATGCCGGCCACAGAGACTGGCGAAACGTTAGGAAGAACAACCTTCAGAACACGGCCAAAGAGCCCGAAAAACCCACAACAACCATAACATTTATTAGTCTCTAAGGCATCAAAAGGCTAGGGTTTTCATTTCATTCTCTCATATTTTGGATGCCTTTTAATTTGAGATTCATTATGTACACAACAAGTAGAAGGAGTCTGAGATTGGTCTTGTGTTAGGGAAAAGGCAACGAAAGAGCACAATCAACTGAGCATCATTAATGCTACCTGACAGATAAAACAGGCACCCCTCTTTCTCTCAGGAACTATATGTTTGTTTAGCTACCATGAAGCCACTGATGATGGAAGTTACACCCAGTGTTCTTCCATAGATTTTAATTGATCACATATTGAAACTTCTTTATAAACACTTCTTTGATAAATTTAGCTGATTGACGTGCAAAGAATATTGAGGAATATTTAACTGGACTGTAAACCAAGAGAAGAGTACATTTTAAAAGCTCATAGTAATTAAGTTGCTGCTGCTGCTAGCTGACAGAGCACATTATTGCATAAGCCATCAATACATCGTACAACAAATGACAAGTGAGAAATATATGTTTTGAATGAATAATAATGTCACTAGATGTTTGTCTTGTTCAGTCAGTCCAATTACAGGGGCTTGATGGCTTAATTGGTCTTCAGACTGTTAACTCCCTACCATCTATAATTTTAGCCTGTGACAGAGTTTCATCACTCTGTTACAGTGGTGCTGATTTGCTAAACCAGATAGGCACGAGGCAAATCAGCCTTTCTTTGAAAATTGCAGCAGTTGTAATTTCTAAGATAAACATATTGCATCTCTATATTTACTTGTTTGTTTCAGCCTAATCCTGTTCATTACCCACAAAAATAGCCTCTCTGGGTGCCATCTTAGTTGCTGAGCTTGGCTACCGTCATGGCTTATCTCCACCTGTCTCTTGCTGTGTGAATTAGTTGTTCTGTACAAAAGCTCAGACAGTTTTAGAATTGCTTGGGAAAGAATTAATTGTTTCTGGTTCACTTCTGTAATTTGAATTAAAAGGGTAATGCAATCACTTGGTTTTTGAGGTAAACCAACTTATAGGAGTTTATAACAGGACCAGGGGCATTTGACTTGAATCATAATTTAAATCACAATTTAATTTATTATTATTTAAATAAAAAATCAATTTTTCAAATTTAAACCATGATTTAAGTCAATTTAATTTTTTAAAAAAAATCATTGCTTTTTATCCACCCTTTCTTGCCACCTGTGATGCAGATGATGGGGGAGGGTAGTCCTGAACAAGATGATATGAGACTCCTGGGAAGAGGATGGGATAGGAAACATTGCTTCTATGAATTTCCTTAAGGTTAACTTGTCTTATAATATAAGCCCAATGTCAGGCAAATCCACCCTCCCCCTGCACCCACTGTAATCCATCTAACATCGTTCAGAAAGGACACCCTACTTTGCAGGGATTTCAAAGGGTGGCGAAGATTGTTACAAATGGTAAAGTGATGAGAAACATTTATTTTGCCAACATCCCTGAGTTAACTTAGCTGAAGATCAGATCCCTAGGATTTTATAATTTAGCATGTATTTGACTGGGGGGTGGGTGCCTGTGAGAGAGAAACCTCCTTAGCTTCATTGTATTGTAATTTTAAGGTCCAGGTAAATAAAAAAAAGATGAAATTCATATCGCCTTGAAACTAGTATTCATTTGTAGTGATAATTTCTGTTCTTTTTGTCCTAGGACACATTACCATTACGCAGTATTTACTCAACTATTATCCTGGCCTTGATATTGAGAAAAGGAATATCTTCGGATTTACTGCACTTATGAAGTCTGCAATGCAAGGCCGAGCTGAATGCGTCAGAGCCTTAATGTTGGCAGGTATATTGTATTCTCTGTTAATTATTCTCATTCCCACTCAATCACTGTACAAATGTGCAGTTTTGGGAGACTATGTTAATACATTCTGTTTGGTATTAGTCCAAATTTGAACAACATTACCAAAAATAAATAAATTGTTGTTTCTTATTAACTTCTGTTACCAAATTTCAGAGTTTGCAAATATTACAATAAGCATCAGTGTTACTGTTGTTGTTTAGTCGTTAAGTTGTGTCTGACTCTATGTGACCCATGGACCAGAGCACACCAGGCCCTCCTGTCTTCCACTGCCTCCTGGAGTTTGGTCAAATTCATGCTTCAGTGACACTGTCCAACCATCTCATCCTCTGTCGTCCCCTTCTCCTCTTGCCTTCACACTTTCCCAACATCAGGGTCTTTTCCAGGGAAAACCCTTGTGTACAAGTTTCCAGGTCTTTTCCTCATCTTCTCATGAGATGGCCAAAGTTTTGGACCCTAAGCTTCAGGATCTGTCCTTCCAGTGAGCACTCAGGGTTGATTTCCTTCAAAATGGATAGGTTTGTTCTCCTTGCAGTCCAGGGGACTCTCAGGAATCTCATCCAGCACCACAATTCAAAAGCATCAATTCTTCGGCAGTCAGCTTTTTTCATGGTCCAACTCTCAATTCCATAGATCGCTATTGGAAAAACCATAGCTTTGACTATTCGGACCTTTGTCAGCAAGGTGATGTCTCTGCTTTTTAAGATGCTGTCTAGGTTTGTCATCGCTTTCCTCCCAAGAAGCAGGTGTCTTTTAATTTCATGGCTGCTGTCACCATCTGCAGTGATCATGGAGCCCAAGAAAATAAAATCTGTCACTGCCTCTATATCTTCCCCTTCTATTTGCCAGGAGGTGATGGGACCAGTGGCCATGATCTTCATTTTTTTGATGTTGAGCTTCAGGCCATTTTTTGCGCTCTCCTCTTTGACCCTCATTAAGAGCTGGATGGGGCAGTGTGTCCTTTTTTGTTCTGCTGGACCTCCCAGTGGTTTTTGATACTATTGACTATGGTATCTTTCTGGGCCACGTGTCTGGGATGGGAGGCACTGTTTTAAAGTGACTTTAGTCCTTCCTGGATGGGTGGGCCCAGAAGGTGGTGCTGGGGACTCATGTTCAATGCCCTGACTGTTGGCCTGTGGTGTCTGGGTTCCATTACGTCCTCATGCTAGTTGATATATTTTCTGGAATTTTTTAGTTGTCTCCTGTTTCCTGATATTACCCAAATTTATCTCTTGTGTCCACCCAACAAAAATGATCTGTTTTAGTTCTAAAGCAGTGCACAGTGTCAGTAATGGGCTGAATAAACAGATTGAAGTTTAATCCAGAAAAAAACTAAGTGTTCCTAGTCAGTTGAAAAGCTGATGACGGAATAGGCACTCAGTCTGTGCTGGAGGGGTTTACCACTTCCCTGGAAAACTTAGGTTTGCAGCCTGGATGTGCTCCTGAGATTTGATGCCTGGTTTTCAGCGGTGGTCAGGAGTGCATTTGCAGATGTCTTGATTTGGCAACAGTGACATATGTCTTATGTCCAGACTCCACAGTGAGCAAAATGTGAATTCACTCACATTCTCTCACTGTGATGTTGCACTGGGGAATCTGGGTTTCTCAGAGTCTGTTTGAATCACCTGGCCACACAGGGATTGAGGAGGAAACCCTTGTGTACGAGTTGTTTGCAGCTCTATTATAGACTTGCAGGTGGAGTATTTACAAGGGAACTACCTAATAAACTATTAGCAAGGGTTTCCTCCTCTCATTATCTATTTTTTTAAAAGATAATCTTGCTGATGGAGAAAGACTTTACTCTCTGTTCCTAAGCTGTTAAAATGAAGCTCTTGCATTAGGAGAAAGGCTTTGCTCTCCATTCCTATAAATGTGTGATGGCATGGTGGCTTTTCTGCATTGGTTCAAGCTATCACATCCACTGAATCACCGTGAATGAATCTGTTTTTTAAAGAAGCAAAAGCTACAGTTGGGGCAGGGGGAAACTTTGGGCTAATTTTCATTTCCTTCCACATTATGTGGTCAGTGGGGAAAAATGCAAATCAGCCTATCACAATTCTTAAACATTACAAAAAAAAAATTACCAGTGTGGTTGCACCCTTAGTTAGATCCTTCTTAGATTACTTCTTTGATTACTATAACATGCTCTTTGAACAGTCTATAAAGATGGTTCAAAACTTCAACTGGTTTGAATTGCAGCAGCCAGACTGCTGACTGGGGCCAGTTACAGGGATCATACAGTGTCCATTATAACAAAAGTAAAGTGTGCTGCTTATATACTGCCCCATAGTGCTTCAAGCACTCTCTGAGCGGTTTACAAGTTAATTATGCAGGCTATACGTCCCCCCCCCGCGCGCGAACTGGGTACTCATTTTACCGACCTCGGAAGGATAGAAGGCTGAGTCAACCTTGAGCTGGCTTCCTGGGATGGAATCCTGGGTCATGAGCACAGTTTTGGCTGCAGTACAGCGGTTTAAACCACTGTGCCACGAGGCTCAGTCTCAAACACTATCAGTCTGTTCCCAGGGCCAATTCAAAGTGTTGGTTATAACTAGAACTGAGCAAAAAAATTGAACCACAAATCAAAAAATCCAGTGAATTGGGTTGATTTGTAGTTCATTTCACAACCCAGCTTAGGAATCCCATTTGCCAAAGCAAAACGAAATGCTGAACTTTTTCCCCCTTTGGCATTTTGTTTGCTTCAGCAAAAGAGGATGCCCGTCTGCCCCCTTCCCATTGCCCCCATCACCTCCACCTACCTGCTCCTACTGCCTTTACTGCCTGCACCACCACAAGTGGTTCACCAGTTGCTGAGTCACAGTGACTCAGCATACACACATCTGTTCACAATGGCAGCTCATTAATAACACATTTATCCAGGTTCAGGCCTATAAAAATTACAGTATCCTGACATTCAGAGACAGTGGGCCTGGCTTCCCTGCTGGGAGGTAGCAGCTGCCTCTGAGCATGCGCTCTGAGCCGATTAGAAGCAGTGATCAGCTCCTGGAAAAGGTCTTCAGGAAATCACCTGAAGATTAAAAATGGATCTTTATGGATTATTCTACCAACATGATTCCAGTCCTGACAAGGCTGTGCTTCATGTGACCATGAACATAGGAATACAGTGGCGGCTCGCTTAGCGATGTTAATTCGTTCCGAAAAATCATCGCTAAACGAAACGTGGTTTCCAATTGAAATGCATTAAAAACCGTTAAGCGAAACAGGGGACCCAAAATTTAATCGCTATGCGAAGCATGGTCCCAACCATCGCTAAGCGAAAATCGCCCATAGGGACCATCGCTAAATGAAGTGCAAAAACGCTCTGAAGAAGTCATCACTAAGCGATTTCATTGCTTAACGGAGCGCCCGTTAAGTGAGGCACCATTGTATAATAATCCCAGATCAATCCAAATGCATATTTAGTGTAAAGCTTGTAACTAGTTGCTTCTTTTGAGCTGTACTCCCAGAATCCCTCAACCAGCATCGCTACGTCTAGGCTGCTTGGGCCCCAGTATCCTTTTGTACAGCTTCCCAAATGTCCTGGAGGTTCAGCTCCAGTTCCCCCTCCCCTTTTGATGAAGCAGCAAAAGTGGCATAGTCACTTTAAAATCACAATTTTCCTGCTTAGAGTATGTTTGTACATGGTTTTCAAGTAGACTAATGATGTGTAATGTATCCACTTCTGTTTGAAGCACGAAAACCGTATTTCTGCCTTGTCAAATTTCAGTGGCAAAACCAGCGATGCTACAGTACAGTCCCTCACAGGTTCTCAATGATGGGGACGGTCCCTCAACTTACAGAGTTTGCCCACTGTTCTTTTAGACCAACTGAAATTCCTGGATCATCCTTAAATGTAGCATCACTCAGAGGGAACTGCAATATCCTAGCCCAGGGCATGCTTGACTAAGGTAGGGCATGTCTTCTCCAGAAAAAACTTTAGCTAGTCAACAGATCAGAACTGCCAAAAAGCACTTAGTATTCTTACCACCATTATTTCTGGCCTTTGGCTATCCAGGAACCATTTGGATCGGCTCCAGGTTTGGCAGATGTTGCAACAATACTTGATGTCTAGGGAATAAGGTACAGCAAGAGGCAGGGAAGGCTGGGTCAAATGTTACTGCAATGGAAGTTTGCTTTCACAAACATACAAATCAAACTATCAGTTCATGATAGGGCATATTGGAACATATTGTAGATTGTCTGGTAGGTAAGAATTTGCTATTTTCTTCTTACAGGGCGATAGAAAGATTCCTGTAGGAGCTCCTTTTAATGTATTTCCGACCACTAGGGGACTTGATTTTAGTAGTGGTGTGGACATGGTTCATTCCTGATGTTTCCTTTAGGGAAGCTGTGATTTTGAAAGTTACTGGCCCAGCATTATATTTAGAAATAATTCATGGATTAACAAATGCTCAGCAATCGCTAGAAATAACACGGCTTCTAGTTCTGTAAAGAGGATGAAATGGGGATTTATCACTGAAAGGCTGAGACAAAACTGAATTAAGTTCATGTGTCCCTATTTTGAGAACTTTGAAAGTAACCCAGTGCAAGATTACTTATTGTTTTAGCAGGTATTATAGAGCAGTGATTCATACAATAAAGAACATGAACATGAAAATCATCTTCATTCTTCTTTACCACTTTCTTTCTGGCACATCTTTCATAACCTAGCTACCCCTCTTATGCCATAACATGCTTCTCCATACCCATGTAGAAACCACTAAGGCTCTTACAAAAAAAAAAAAACCTTATAAGGTTTTACAGTTCTTATAAACAAAAGTTCATAAAACTAAATGACCATGTCTGTGTTCCTTGCCTTGCAAGTGCAGCTTAGTAGCCCTTTGTTTTCATGGTTGATCCATGCTAAAGACCAACAGAAATGGCGAAGCAATGCTAGTAGTATTAGGACTTAGCTTGGCTTCACTTGCTAATGTAAAAACATACATAAATAAGCCTTGTATTCTATAAGCCACCTTGTTGGGGAAAATGTAACTGGAAATTAAAGAGTTAACGTGTGCCAGATATTTGAAGATCTTTTAACAAAACTCATAACTTAAAACAAAGCAAGGAGTAACAAGTTTGAGTTCAAACTTATTCCAGTAATAATTCTACTGGAAACCCAGCTCAGATATTTCCATGAATAACACTTACAGATCATCTTGCAAGATGTATAGCTGCATTAATTTCATTTAATAGGCTGTCAATATTAAAAACTGACAGGCCTGCTCAGATTATTTATTCTGAAAGAAAATACCTGTTTGAAACAGAGTAGACTATGTCTAGATGGGCGGCATATAAATGCAATAAATAAATAAATAAAATAAATAAATAAATAAACAGAAGCTTTTTCTTAGGAGAATCAAGATGAAGAGGTGGTAGACACGTTTCTTATAAAACTGCTTGCAGACCTGATGTGATTTTGAATGACAAAGAGAATGTCATATTAGTTGAAATGGAATATTCATGTCTGACCCATGTGGCAAAGCAGTTGAATACAGTTTAAAGTACACCTTTTTATCCCTGGGACATTTCCCAAGTGAGAACATGCAGCAAGAATTTGACGCACTGCTAGAAGGCAGTGGTTTATTGTGTTCACCCTGAAAGACCCACAATTTTATTCTGCACCTGTGCAGTGCAAGTCCTCCAGCTTTCCTTGTGGAGTAATCTTGACCTTCCTTTTCAACAGAGAAATCTGACTTCACATGTGCCTTAAGGGGCGAGATGAACAGCTGCCATTCAGTTCTCTTCTGACTTCTGCTACCATATGCCCTTCAGAACACATCTCAAGCAGGACTAACATTGCCAGAAGCAAGATAGACGAGATTTATTTGCTTTTATTATATATATAAAAAAGCAAAACGAAATATGTATTACCCTTCTAAAGAGGTAGAGGTCAAGAGCGTACTTTCTGCTGTGATCTACTCTGAGGTGATAAAACGCAGTACAAATAATAGGCATTACATTTCAGTCAACAGGTCATCACTGCTTATATAACATCAAATTTTCTACAGATATCTGGGAAGTGATGCCTCTGAGCCCATTCACAATTCCATAGCAAAATGAAAGGGGAGAGGTTAGGGAACCAAAAAAGTAGTTATTTCAAGTATGGACTTTCTTTAAAATGTTGGGTTTTTTGGAGGAGGTGGTTTACACCAAAAGAAGAAGAAGAAAAAGGTAGAAAGCACCAAAGGTAGAAAGTTTTGAACCTCTTCAGACAGAACACTTGTATGGGGTAAGGAAATAGAGTTGTGTACATATTTTAAGATGTCATGGGCAGTAATGGATGATAACACCACACTCAATCTTTCTAGTAATGTTTGCATTACTTACAGTGTGGCACTCTGTGCTTGTTAGGGCTGGGGTTGCCAGGACTCAAGATTGCTGGGTGAAATATAAGGGGATGGTTGGGCTTCCCCAGAACTTCTGTTGGCGAGGCAAATCTTAGGGTGAGTGGCAGAGAAAATAGTATTTTCTTTTTTGCTTAGATAGGAGGTAGATTTAAATCTGCAACAAGGCAGACCGTAGACTGGTCATGTAGTTTAGGAGACCTCTTATTACACAAGGTCTGGCAGAAACAGATCATGACTTGGAAAGAATTATCCAGGGGCTAGCAGTGAGCCTTCCATAAATCTCAGCAGCAGTGACCATTTGAAGAGAAGGGTCCCTGTGCAGACTGTCCATGCAACTGGAAACACCGAAAAAATTGTGCTGTCAATTGCTGTAGATGTAGGGTTAACCCTCTGGTAGTTGGCACTGTAAGCAATATACACAAGACAGAATGAAAAGGAAGACACCTGCCCCACTGACTGGATGATGCATGAAATGACTATGCCTGAAGAAAGTTAAAACTATTGATCAATCTGCTGAATGGTCTTGATTATAGTTTTATTTCACTGCAAACCTCCACCATGGGACTGGCACAGATGACTACTTCAAGAACACCAGTTGCATATAAATAGCTATTCTGTTTTTGGTGCTCTTGTTTTTGAGCTCCAGTCTAAAGGGAATGTGCACATCAGGAGCAGAGGAACCTGGGGTAGGAAGCAACCAACTTCTTTTTACATTAGCCTAAATAAAACAGCACAAAATGACAAAAGGAGGAAGAAACGCAGAATATCAAATGTTTGCCAAGTTTAGAAATATAGTACACAAGACTGCATATTGAATTTAGCAGAAAAGTGAAGATATAAGAGGACATGGACTCTATTGCCTTCCCATCTTTTTGTGCTTCTCTCGTATAGAGTGCTTTTGGATATACGGCGCTCTCATTCTCATTGTAGTCAGATGTAATCTCATATTAACCTAACAGCCATTCATGAGATTAGCCTGAATCCACAGATTTGGGTTTCTGGCTGTACCATGTGCTGTGGCAACACTGTCAGCAAGCGCATTCCTATCTCTTACATCTGTCCATCAGCTAACGTTGTTTTTACTGGTACTCTTCAACTGTGGACCTGTTTTCACTCTCCTGGCCATTCTTTGTCGTGTGCCCTTTTTGCTGCAATTGCAATGCAGAATTCAGTTGGAGATGCGACAAGGGGCAAGCAAGATTGCTTCTTCAGAAATTCTTCTATTAATTGTGTTACCCTTCACTACTTACCCTGTCTTCTCATCACAGTTCATACATTCTCCAAAATGTTACTCTTAAAAGTCTAAATATAATGTGAGATAGATGTTTTACATTTTTATCGCCATAGACAATAACAAATACTAGAACACAAAAAATAATGTGTACAGTACTGTAAAACGTGCATGAAATAGAATTATACTGTCCTATGGGAAAAGCACAGAACAGCAAATTGCATGTGATCAACACTCCCACACTCTTCTTTATTCCCAATACCCACAGAAAAACACAGTAGTTAAAAGGTAGATCAAAATTTTAAAACACTTTATATAGTCGTGACAAAAAACACCTGTTTGTTAAGATTTGATATTTTCTGAAGCTCATGCTCAATGAAATGCAAGCTCAGCCAGAAAATACCATGTGCTAAGATTTGTGCACATTGCAATCCTCACTGTAGCTTATGGTGCTGCTGGTTGGAGGGTTAACAGCATTAACTTAATGCTTTGTGGTCCTGACAGCCATCTGCTAGGTCTTAATACATTTATTGTCTGTTAAGTCACTGTCTAAACATTTGAAGAGTTCAAAACCTGTGTAATAAAGCATTATTTTACTAAAACATTAACTGTGACAGTTTTGAAAAAGCTGTTAAGTAGCGGAGGTTTTAAGGTTCTGACAATGCAGTAGACGATTCAGGATGTACTTGACTTTCCATATGCAATATAATTGTATACACTCTTTTCTCTTTTGTTTCTTGAGGGGCAAATATAAATGCAACAGACCCAGGTCGTGGATTCACTCCTCAGGAATGGGCATGTTTTACAGGAAGAATAGAATCTGCCTATCTGATACAGAGACTTATGGACCAGCCGTGCGCTGAGCAGTTTTGTGACCACTATGAACTGGAATGGCCAAAGATGAAGGAACTTCTTGCCAAAGCTGCTGAGCGAAAAACCTGTTTGCAAAGGATCTCAGAAGGTGTTCGGTCAGTAGTAGCTTTCAAAACATACCAAGGCCCTGAAGAAGATGGCGTCCTGGATCATATGGTTAGAGTGACCACCAGTCTGAGGAGTTCCTTTGTTGCCATTGCTTGCAGGACTGTGTGCCCTGGAAGTCCGCCTGCGCTAGGAAAACGTAGGCCTGCTGTGCAGGAAATGCTTAGAAGACAAAGAGCAAAGGAAATCCGAACTTTAGAGGACAGAGACCATTTTCACAGCTATGAGAAGCTGTTTCAAAACTCCCGAATCACATTAGTCCCCCAAAAGAAAGAGAGGCGAGCCAGCCTGCAGCCTTTCAGTCTAACTGTGCCCCAAGTGAGCATTGTGCTTCCAAGGAAAACCAGCCTATTACCACTGCACTTGATGAGAAGGAGTAGTGTGCGTCCTGGGTTTGTCATTCCCAAAGTTCGTATCAACAAGGCGCCTCCACCTACTTTCCAGCCAGAGAAAGTAAGACGGAAAAGTAGTGCCAGTGATGGGAGCTACCTGGAGATTCCCAAATGGAGGTATAAAGAGCTGAAAGAGGAAAGGAAGAAGGCAGAAGAAGATGAAAAGAAAAAAATGGAAGAAGCTCAGAAACAGAAGCAAGGGTCCCCTCAGAGAAACAAGACTTGATGCCCTTGCCATGACTCCCACTCTCAGTTCAGCACAACAAGCCGCATAGGGCACAGCTGAATGACATAAATATTTGAGAAAGAGAAAATCAGGCTGAAGTGTCTTTCAAAGAGCAACCAACAGAACAATGGGATGGTTAAAATGCAAGGAAATGTTTAGGAACTCTGCGGCCAGTTTTAAAATACAGAAAAGACTGTTTCTCACAGAGTACAAAACAGCTGCCCTCACATAAGCAGAAGGGGCAAGGGAACTAAGCTTTCAACAACAGAGTTATAAATATATCCCCAATTGCCTAGTCTAACCAAAAAAAAAAAAAAGTTAGATAACACAGTATGCTTTCAAGGGACCTTCTGCACTGTTGTTATAACTAGAAGGTTAAAAGAATAGATTACATAAACATTGACTTTGGGTTATGTGAAAAGCAGCCTATGGATTTCTTTTTCATAAGTGTTTCTTGGGGGTTTCCTATTGAATTAAAATAAAGGGCTTCTGCTTGCTGCCTGTTATTAGTATATCACAATGACTTTTCACAAATCAATCTAAAAATACAGAAATCTCAGGATAGTTTACAGGAAAGAAAAACCTTATATAAATATACAGAAATATATAAAATACATTCCTAAAAATATAAATAAACTGTTGGAGCTAAATCTAATGTTAGCTCCAACTAAAGCTGACAACAGTGGCCAGAATTCTATTGGTTACACTCACATAAGTGTTTAAATCACAGTAGCAAATTTCTGTTATTGAATGAGTCGATATATGCCAGTTGTGTGGCTTGGTGCATAAAGAGGAATACAAGTGGTGACTCAGTAAGTGCCACTATTGTGATTTATGCCATTGCCTTTATGCCAGTGTACTAACAAATAGGACTTGGCTGTTGAAATCAAGAGGATGAAAATGGTGACTAACCAGCCCCATTCAGTTCAGTGGGTCTATTTAGTAATAGGAACTAACACTGGATTTAATCCTTTATAAACAGCATTTTAATTCTGAGAAATAGATTAATGGAGACCAATGCGGTCTGATGTATTTATCAGTGAACAGGAATTTATTGTTGATTTGTTTTGAAACATGTTAAAAGGTTGTAGAAATTCCATAACAAACACCACAACAAACTGCACATTTCTGTGAATCTTCCTGAATTATTTTTCAATACTGTGCTTAACTTCTATGTGCTTCTGCTCACAAACCTCAGGGCATTTTGTACTATAATCAGAAATCCTGCTGGTAGCCCTAATTACTACTAAAGAAGGAGTAGAAATTAATGAATGTTTCATTATGGGCACTTTAAAATGTATTTTATAAATTTTATTTACTTTGTAAATTTTTGCAAATTTGTGTAACTTTAGTATGCTCCACTGGATTGAAGGCACAAGTACAAATTGTGAACAGACATTATAATTAATGTGAACTCTCACTTGCATTGTACTCCCATTTTCACACGTTTGGCAACTTTATGGAAAGATGCAAGATTTGCCTAATGCAGAAGAACAGCAAAGATGTCATTCTCCAAAATACATATAGAAAAACCTAAGCAGTTGCCCCATTTGCTTACACTAGTTAAAGGGACTATATGACTCTCACAAAGGGAGTTGGTACAGCAGCACAATCCATTGATCTGACATTGATTCCCTATAGCAGTAGTCCCCAACCTTGGGTAACCCAGGTGTTCTTGGAGTGCAGTTTGCAGAACCTTTCACCACCAGCGGTGCTGGCTGGGGTTTCTGAGAGTTGCAGTTTAAGAACACCTGGGTTACTCGAGGTTGGGAAACACTGCCCTACAGTAATCCTGATCAGTGGGGCTTATGTACAGGTATGTGTAGCCTGAAATGCATGTTTGGTGTATTGAAGGTCATCAATGGTAAGTTTGTGGCACTTTTTTGCCCATCCTTTTGTCAGTGAAATTGCTATGCCATATTCAATTTCAGTAAGATACATACAGGTATACAAACATAGTTGACTAACATTATAACTTACACCTTCTCAAACAGCACAATTTTAGTAATTAGAGGACAGGCTTTCAGATGCTCATGGCAACTATCTACATGTATCTCTCTGATAAGCTCTGACAGAGATGGTGTATTTTGGCTCATAGCCAACACAGTATATTTACATATCAAGTCACTGAGTCAGTTTCTCAAAAGCAATCTGTTCTGACAAGCAAGTAGATGAATTTACACTTGAATTACCATGTAAAGTACCAGTTCAGTTGAAATGCACTATTGCATTCTCTCAGGGATGAAGTTAAATCACAGTGTTCCAGGGTGTAACCTATTTGTATGTGTATATATTATGTCATATTTTCAATTAAAAGAAAATAAATTCTCTTTACATCATAGTAGACCTTTCTACCTCAGTTTGGTTTGGGACTCTTGTGTTCTGTTCAGCTCTTCTGTTCAGCAACTTTTAAAAATCACACTTAAAATAATTATTTCCATGAACAGCCATCAGCACTGCAGCTCTGCAGTTGAGGGGGTGTGAAACCGGGGGGGGGGGGGGGGAGAAGAGAAGAAAGGACACACACACATTGTTGGAATAAAAACGGGCACAGCTTTGCTGATTAAAGTTGAGGAAGTCTGGTGTGGCAAAGGGAATTGAATCTAAGTAACTGTCTGTCAGCTGATGAACCTCTACCCCCTGGGAGATAACATGGGATGTGGGTTCCCACATGAGTATTAATCATTGTGTGGCTTCACTGCCACTTTGAAGTGAAAGAGGGCAAACAGCCTCCAAGTTTTCACATTTTGGTTACAGACATTATTTCATTACCATTTGGAACACTAGAAATCCATCATGGTTTTTCAAGCTGAAGTGCTACTGCAAGAAGGAAGGATCATGACAAAGATAGAGTAACACGGTTGTACAAAGAGTTATTCAAATATTGGTAAGAGTGAAAAACATACTACATTTCTGATCACACAAAATTCTAAAAGCATCTATTATTTTAATTCAAAACTTGAGGCAAAAATGGAGAGTTTCAATAATTAAAGATTAAAGATCTGCAAGTAGAACAAGCCACAGGAGAAGAAAGTAGAGTTTTTACTGCTGGATAGCTCAGTGGTTGAGGTATCTGACTGCAGAGCCAGAGGCTGGGAGTTTGATTCCCACTGTGTTTCCTGTGAGTAGAGGTAGCTTGTGCAGCCTTGGGAAAGCTGTACAATCCCAGAGTGTCTCTAGAAGGGAATGGTAAACCACTTCTGAGTATTCCTTATCTAGAAAGCCTTAAAAAGGGTCACTATAAGTCAACATTGTCTTGAAGGTACATGATTATTATTGTTATTAATTGCTGAACATCTCCCCTGCTGGCAATGTCATTCCTCTTCCACATTGGGTTTCAGCCAATAAAACATAAGCATTATGTTCATCGAAATCAAAGATATCTAAGTGCTTACTCTCTTCCTCTGAAAGTACCTCAAAAGCACGCGACTTTATTCAGATTGTGCCATTCCTTTGAGCATGATAGACACAAAACTTGGATACCACATATGTAAGCATGACTGTACAATGAAGGCAAGCTTTTCTTTCTTTTTTGTGTGTGGTCTCTATGCATAGTGCAAAACAACCCTCTAGAACTTTGCAAATGGAGAGTTTGGGCAGTATGCCTACCTCTTCTATATAAAGGGCATACGTATGTGTGCTTCTTGGTTCTATTTCATCTGTCACAGTCACGTGTGTGTGTGTGTGTGTGTGTGGTATAAAGGGCATACATATGTGTGCTTTTTGGTTCTATTTCATCTGTCAGAGTCACTACAGCTGGATTAGAACCTCGTGTGTGTGTGTGTGTGTGTGTGTGTGTGTGTGTGTGTGTGTGAGAGAGAGAGAGAGAGAGAGAGAGAGAGAGAGAGAGAGAGAGAGAGAATGGATTATCCTGACTTTATGTTAGTGGGTTTCTTTATTACAGCCGTTTCTTTGCAACTTTATGTGTTGTTATTTCTTTTACAATGTATTTTATTTATGTTCTGATTTTTTCCCCCTCAGGGCCTATGATTCCAAGGGCCTTTTCAAATTTTGTGTTGATTGCAAAGGGAAATCCCTTTTAAACTTCACAAGAAATGTCTTTGTTTGGGAGGAAGCCCATATATCTCTCCCTACCTGTAAAAATAGTTTCAGTTTCTATAAGGCTCAGAAAAACCAGAGTCAGATTAAAGTGATTTCTTTTTGAGATGACAATTTCAGTATCCGTTCCCCATGTGACAATGACTTTGATATATAAATTTCGTATGGTTTCAAAAATCCACATAGTGCCAGGTCCTTCTGTCACAACTGGCATCATAACGTCATTGTCAGAGCAGCTGACACAGCAAATCTCAACAGTATAATTGATGCAATTATCATCGCCATTGACTCAATCAACAAATGTTTCCTTGTTAATGACTCTGTCAATACCAAAGTGCAAAGTATGCAAGAAGGAAACTATGACTGCTTTGCTGGCTAAGAAGAAAATAAACCATGATTGTGACCCAACTTAATGTCAAGGAATTACAGGGCATTCTTGAAATACCAGTCTCTGAAATCCTGTAAACCCGACAGGCGATATTCAAGATGACATCAGTGTGGCTCTGTCAGTCCAGTAATACACACCTGAGCATGCTAGATTGGACCTAGCTAGTTGTTACACCTATCCTTAAGCAGCAGTGCCATCTTCATACTGGTCTTTGAGATGGTAACAAGTTTATGACTGCTATAAGTGCAAACATAGGCACCACTCCTAGCCCTAATCATGGCAGAGAAAGAGTATCTACGTGTTCCTGCCTTTCCCACACCAGCATTGTGTCAAAGCACTGATAGGAGTGGTTACATGGAATCTTAATAAGGCCATGGTGACCACAGCAGATCCGGGTCCATCTTCTGTTCCGGTTCAGCTGTTGAATCTTCCTTTGGCCAGATCTCATCTCCAGAGTCAGGATGGATCCTTCATCCCATGCTTAACCTGGCATCATGAAGCACCCAGATTGGGACACAATAATTGAGATAATATAGGATTCAAGAAAATCTTTCACTTTCTCTAAGCAGACTTTTTGCACAC